AATGTTAGTGTTCCACAATTTATAGCAATTTATTTATTATTTACTATTCATAGATAGAGAATTTTTGTGTTCTACAATTTATAGCAATTGCGACGTATGTAAATTTCATTTTAAACTTTTATTTTCATCGGCTGTATCGATACTTCATTTTGTTCGGAACTGATGATGGAGAATCGCAGGATGTGGTTAGTTAATTACACTAATTACACCCGGACTGATTGATACATGGTATGTCCACGATGTTTGGTCATTGAATATACGGTTTCATTCGTTCGCTGCAATCAACCGATAATTAAACTTCCTGCGGAGGCTGGAGCGATCTGTGACTACGTGCTGAAGCCGTTTGGACCTACTTTTTCTTAATTGAATGCGCTAATTCAATAAAAGCAAGAGAAAAATAAAAAAAAAAAAAAAGAAAGAAAGAATCTCTAGTAATCCTCCATGAGGCAACTTGGATAATAAAATATTCTTTCCAAAGTGAGTTCCAAAATGTCGAATGTCAAAAGTTGCTTTCTTTTCTAAAAATAAAAATCGACAAATGAGTCCTATCCATGTATCAAAGATCAAGTTTTCAGGGAAAGCTCGACAATCACGTTAATATTAAAGTAACTGACGATTCAAGCTCATGTGGTTCACCGACCTTTCGCAAGTTTGTTGTTGTATTGCTTCATCAACGCCCACCGCTATATTTGAACTATGCGCAAGTTAAATTAATTAGCTTCGCTCGAGAGTAGTCACTGGATGGATAAGAAAAACTAATCAGTTCGTTATTTACATGTTTACAGTGGTAAAATTAAAAACTTTAGAAAAAATGGAATTAATTAATTTGACTTCCCAATGCTTTTCGTTTCTCATTAATCAAATGTCTAACTTGTGAATATATATACATATATATTCACAATTTATATATATATAAACTCCCATAAGTCACTGGACACTTGCTTATTTTGATCTAAACAGTTACTAGAACAACTAGATATACTTTTCCGAATTAATTTTATTATACAATCTTGTTATATGTACTCCATTTATTCTATTTTATAATAATACTTGAAAACGAAACTGATATTTAACGTATATTGTCTGAATAAATATTTCAAAGTATATCAAAAATATATGTGTATATATTTAAAAAATCGAATCGATGTATTTTGGGACGAATTGGACAGAAGCCTTCAGATATGTGTCCGAAATAAAAAAAAAAA